TTAGAAGTGGTTTTGCCTGCTAGCGTGTATGTGGCAATGCCTTTAGAAATTTTAATTGCCACTACTGGTGAGTGAGTGACTGAATGACTGTATGTGTGTGTGTGTGTGTGTGTGTGTGTGTGTGTGTGTGTGTTACTATTCATTCTTTTTAGGTAGAGCTGTCAGTGGAGCTGCTAATGCACAGGATAGTAAGTCTCTTACAGAAAGAATTACCTGATCCAAATACCAATAGTTCTGAGATCACAATACCTTGTTCTAGATAGAAGCTTATACAGAGAGAAATTTGATTATTTCCCAGTGTCATTTCATAAGTGGTAATATGTCATCAGGACACACATCTCTAACACTATCATTTCTTCTTCATTCATCGGCTAGAATGTCTATAAAGATCCTATTTATTTCTATATTCCTGATAATAAACAGTTCACATATTAAATGTGAAAGACCCTAACCTTCAGGCTTACACCCCCAAGCCCCAGGAGAATAAGGAACTAAAAAGAAAGCTAGTTCCAAGGGCAACCTGACTCAGCCATTATTCAACCACCCCTGCAACAATGTAACAATGTAAAAAGATTTCTGTTAAGAGATGTGCTCAACTGTGACTGGGATAGTTGCAGGTGTTCCAGGAAGGACCACTGTGACCTTTGTGTAAACTACACTCCCGTCCTGATACCCACCTTGAGGTTTCGGGAAGAATGTACATGAGGACATGACTGTACCCACTCTGTGATCAGACCATGATCTTGTGAAACGAAATTGTATGGGAATTGTAATCTTATGGCTTTTGTGGGTTTTTCCTTTAAAAGTACCTATGTAATTGCAACAGGCACGACTCTTGCTCTCTGGAGCTGAGTTAGCCCGACTGTACAGTCGCTTCTTCAATAAACCTCGTGCTGTTGCATCAACTGGACCGGAGTCTGGGTTCTTGGGATGCCCACTCGAGACCCTAAACTTTGGGATCTAACAAATGTATGATGAAGGGGCTAGAGAGATGACTCAGCAGTTAAGAGCACATAATGCTCTTGTAGAAGATCACAACTCTGTAACTCTAGCTCCTGGGGAGCCAACACCCTCTTGTGGCCTCTGTAGGCACCTGCACAAAAGTTGCAGACACACTCAGACATGTATGTACACACACAAATAATAATGGGCACAGTGGCACACCCCTTTAATTACAGCACTTGGGAGGCAGAGACAGGTGAATCTCTATAAGTTCAAGGCCAGCCTGGTATACATAGTGAGTTTCAGGCTAGCCAAGAAAAAAACAGCAAGACCTTCTCTCATTCTACCGCCAACCCCCACTATTTAAAAAAAAGTAGGACGAATGCTCATTTCTCTAGAATTATTCAAAATAATGAACTGGCTTTTCTAAATATCCTCTAATCTAATAAGATTTTTAGAGAATCATTCTAAATGTCAATTTAGACATTCCTGATACAGTCAACTTACTATCCCATCATCTATGGCCACTTAAGAGTCTTCATGCCGGGCAGTGGTGGCACACGCCTTTAATCCCAGCACCCAGGAGGCAGAGCAAGGCGGATGGATCTCTGTGAGTTCAAGGCCAGCCTGGGCTACAGAGCAAGTTCCAGGAAAGGCTCCAAAAAAAGTCTTCATTTAGGTTCACAGAGTCGTCATCTGGGATTGTTCGTTTTGTTTTCATGCATGACAAAAATCAAGGTTTACCTATGCTTATTTACACACACATTTCTTTTTCTAGACTCGGAATCAACTAATTTATCCAATGAGCCACTTCAGTACAAAACAGTACTTTGAGGCCATGCAGATGGAAAGAGGAAATGATTTATTTTCTTTAGGGGAGGGTGATTTTTTTTTTTTCTTTCTGAAACAAGAGTCCACTGTGTAGTACAGGGTGTCCTCAAACTTATCCTCTTGACCAGCCTCCTGAGTGCAGGCAATAAAGCCATGTACCACCATGCTAGGCTTGTCTACCCACCTCTCCCAGCCCCATTTAGAGAAAATATATTATGAAGTTATTCTGGCTATTTCTAACTTAATGTCTTTAAAGTTTTTATTATTTAACATCCTTATTTTACACTGAAGCTATTTTCTTTTAGGCTAAAAATCCTAATGGCATCATTTATTTCTTCACTTGTACAAGAAGAACATCTCAGATATTAGCAGCTTAATTACTGAAAACAGGTTAAGATTCTCTATGAAATTCTTTTCGTGTTTGGAATCAAATTATTTTGGAATAATTTTTCTCTGTGAGGCTATGCTGCTAACTCAAAACAAAGTTAGATATATTTGTTTCATTTCACTTTTGTCTTGAAGAAAAATTAATTTTATTTGTAGGTTATTTCAAAGTAGGGAAAAAACCTAACAACTAAAACAAACAAAGATTAAGCTCATCTCCTAACCCATGAACAAGTAGGAAAGGTACTGACTGGCCTATCCCCAAGGGGCTTTACCACACTCCCTTGACCATTTCCTACAAAGTGGAAAGACGATATACATCCCTCTTCTACTTTACTCAGTAACATATGTAAGATGCCAGGAACTTCCTAATAAGATAGAGGTAAGACTTTAGTCTCCCACTCATTTAACAGATTTCATGAATCTACAGAAGATCAGAAGTTTCAGTGCACTAGTCAATCAATGACTGTTAGGAAATCTGCAGAGCTGCATAGACATTATAAATTTAATGCTATATTTTTATCACTCTAAAAAGATAACCATAGCCATGATTCTTCTATTTTTACCCTTTCTGAAACATTTTTCTTTTATATGTATGTTTCACATTCTGTAGATGTTAGAATTTACCTAAAAAAAAATTTAGTAGAGAAATTATAGACATTCATATTTAAGAACCTGATTTATATTTGGCTATTTATTTGAGATGGGGGTCCATGTTGCCTACGCTGACCTCAAACTCTGAAGCTCAAATGATCCTGCTGCCTCAGCCTCTCAAGTGCTACTAGAATTATAGTCATGCATCCACCTAGCCATAATTCCACCTGCATTTTGCAGCAGTAATTTTTATAGCCCATGTATTTATACACAAAACACTTACTCTTAAGTTCTATTGCCCCAACTCTTAATACCTCTTCTTTGTACATGACTATCTTTGTGCAAATACTTTACATGATATTCATACCTTCTTAGCTTCTTGGAAGAAAGTTTATCTGTTGGCTTTTGACAATGAATAATACTGAAACACTCCTTATTTCCCTGTCCTAAAGGATCAACTGATAAAATAATATTGATATCTAAAACAACAAACAGCAAGTAATATGCCATTTTATTTCTATCTTTCTTTTTCAGACTCACAACTACACAGTTAGTATATGTATCACTGTCCCTTTATGACATAGCTTTTACTCTTTTCAGTAAGTTCTTCAAAGAAGTTTGAGATTCTTTTTTTTTTTGGTTTTTCGAGACAGGGTTTCTCTGTGTAGCTTTGCGCCTTTCCTGGAACTCACTTGGTAGCCCAGGCTGGCCTCGAACTCACAGAGATCCGCCTGGCTCTGCCTCCCGAGTGCTGGGATTAAAGGCGTGCGCCACCACCGCCTGGCTGAGATTCTTAAGTCTAGACAATGCCAGCATTATTAGACTATTCTCTAGTCTGAACAGTCTCTCTCAGTTTCGGCTCTTTTCATACTAGACAGCTGAGCTTTCCATGGTTAAAGGGGCCTCATCTCTTTAGAGAAGAGTGTCCAGTGGCAGTTTGATTTGGGGGTTCTTGATAATGTCAGGCTAGTTTTGACGTTCCTACTGACTTGTGTTGCCCCATTGTATTCTGGAGTTCACAGGTGGAAATGAAAAATGTGACTAGTCTTTGAAAATGAGTGTCAAGAGATTATTCTTTATTCAAGAATTCCTTGGATCACACCTGAGTATATTTTAAGGGGGTAAACTCAGGATGTTAGTGGGCAATGTCAGAAAGACTAACCTTATAGTTAGAGAGTTTTGAACCATATGACATCAGCATTTACCATGACTTCCCAAATTTAAAACAGGAGGTCTGGAGACTGAGTACAATCACATGGCTAATGATGCAACTATGCCCATGTAATAGAAACTCAACAGAAATCCTGCAGCGTGGTGCAGCATCCTGGCTGGTAAGCACAAGGAATCATTGGGACAGTGACACACTACAACTCCTCATGAGCAGGGCACTGAGACTCCTCTTAGGACCCTCTCAGCTGTTGTTCTGTATGTCTCATTATGATAAAAAGTGTTGTTCAGAGTTCTGTGCTCTTCTAGTGCATTACCCACCACAAAGGGGCCATAGAAAACCAGGGTTTTGTAGTAGATGGTCACAAGTATAGATGGTCTAGGTTCCTTGAATTTATAGCCAGTGAATTAAGAAAGAGTGGTCTACAGGAGTATTCCTTATAAACTGTCCAATGTGATGCTAACTGTATGTGGTTAGTATCAGAACAGGACTGTAGGACATCGACAGGGATTCCTCAAAGTTCAGTTCTGTCACTGCACAAGTTGTCTTATTTTTGAGAAAGGAATTTGGACATTAAAAAACTAAGTAACAACAAAAACAAAAACGAAAATGAAAAGTAACTGTCATCATCTCCTTGATGCTACATCTTTAGAATTAAGTTTGTGTATTCCCTACTTCTTGAACAATTTTATTACTCCACTGCCAAATATTAAAGTTAAGGTTAAACTGTTGTGATAATCCATCCACTCTTACACATTTCAAGTACTGCTCCCTTATTAACAAAATGTATTTTATTTTATTAATAATGATTATTATTATGTCTGAGAGCACAGGTGTACACACTAATAACTGTGGAGTCAGCGCTCTCCTACCTTTCCTGGGTTCTGGAGATTGAACTTCGGTCAGTGCCATTATGTGGCAAGCACTTTTAACCAATGAGCTATCTCACTGGCCTCTAAAATTTAAATCATATAGGATACAACAACTGCACATTACAAATGATAGTATGTGATGTATACTTCAAACTGGTTTGAGGATGGACTCCAAAAAAAAAAAAACAACAAAGACAAACATTTATTACCTCTGTGACACGCAGCTGTGAAGATGATGCCATGTAATCTGCTTCTAATTTGTTCTTCTCAGAGATCACTGTAGTATTCTGAAGAATCAAATCCACTTTCTGTATATGCAAAGAAGTGCAAATCTACGAGCAAACAACCCATAAGAATTTTCTTTTTATGTTGCCTAAGCTTTACAACTATGAAAAATGCCAGTTTTTTTTCAAAACTAAATTATGAATCATGAAAAATTAACATCTTCCTACTGTGATTGATTGACATCTCTATCAAATAATTCAAATAAAACTACTTAAAAAAGATAATTTCCTATATATTTAAGTCATCTGGAAGAAAATAATTTAGTTTAATAAGTAACTTTTAAAATTCTCTGTAAGCATTAAAACTTAAACAAGCTGAAACTAATCATAAAAATCTCTTGCTTATTATTACTAAAACAGAAAAACATTTAAGAGATTATTTCCCACAAAATCCTGTAAAAATCACTAAATTTTAGTATCTAGCAATATTTTTTTTAAATGTCAAAAATTAAGAAACTGTCTTACCTTGACTAGGCTTGTTAATTCAGTAACAAGTTTTGCTTTCTGAACATTTATTTCTTTGATTTTGGTACTTGCTTTTCGCTCTTCCTCTTCCAGATTGCAAGTATCTTGTTCCATCAGCCTTATACTGTATGACAGACACACATAAAGATGGAGAGATCAGAGCTAAACACAGGATCAAGTCCAAAGCCTTAAGTCCCCTGAAGCTTTCGGGGTTATATAGTAATACTAAGCAAAAGTATAAATGTTAGCTCCTAGATTAAGCATCTCTTAAGGCAAATCAGTCAGGATCAAAACATATTGTGCAGTTCTATGACTAGCACAGTCTAGTGTCAGGAATGGTGCTGATGCAGGCTATGGAGGCAGAAAGGGAGCTTGAATTGCCCCTTTCTTATTCATCGATAAGGAGAACTTGATAAGGAGCTTAAGCTTTTTCATCTATAAACTGAAGATGATAAAATTTCCTCCCACTGAATTTTGGAGAAAAAACACATAACATAGTATAATATCTGGCCCAGAATTTATTTATTAATATAAGCTGTTACCACATTGTTCATGAAACACAATCCTTAAGCAGGTAGAGCTGATCCATTGGTAAAAACAGAAGAAAAATCAACACAGGGTTGGGAATGTAGCTCCAGTGGTGGAGTGCTTGCCCAACAAAGCATAAAGACTTGGACCCAATCCCTGTAGCAGCATTAATCAGGAGTGGTGGTGAGGCAAAGGCAGGAAAATCACAAGTTTAAGGTCACACTCTGCTACACAGGAAGGGTGAGGCCAGCCTGAGCTACATGAGCTAAACCTTGCCCCCATGCAAGAGTCCTAAAATTATCATTAAAATAACTTTATAAATTAAGAAACAAAGGTTTGAAAAGTAAATCACCTAATATTATGGATATTAAGTGGTAGGATAAGTTTAACACCAACTTAGTGTCCATGGTCTTTCCATTAAACCATGGTGACTCCAAGGGGCTCAAAAAAGGGCAGAAGTAGTAATAAACAAGAACCATCAAGAACAGGGGATGGTGTATAAGGAAGAGTTGCTGCAGAGAAAAACAAGATTCTGAATAATTATGAAAGCTGGTCTTAGGAAGCACAAGGTTGGAGGCCAGCAAGAAATTTTTAAAAAATAAAAATAAAAGAAGGTTTTTGCAATAGTATTTTGGATGACCTACATAAAAAGTTCAACCATCACCCCAGAAATACAAAGTGTAGAAAGAACACGAATAAAACATTTGGGCTGGTAACTGGCAAAAAGTCATTGTGTTGCAAAAATGATTAGATTTTTCAAAAGAAAAGAAAAGTTTTCAGCAATAGATCCAACAGTAAAGCTTAAATGGTTTATCAACAATTGAAAATAGGATTAAAATGAAGGATTAAAGGTGATAAACAAGGCCAAAAATTGAAAAAGAAAACCCAGAAAAGAAGCTATTTGCTAAAAAAAAAAAGTTTAAAAACCAAGAAAAATTTCCTAACATACTTTATTGTTTTCTTCTTTAAAAATATATTTTTTACTTTCCCATTTCTTTGAATCTAAATTTATTTTCTGAGAAATTAGTATGACAACTGCATTCACATCATTTCTACATTGCTCCCTCACTCACTCCCAACTACTCTATGCCCCATCCCTCTCAAATTCATGATTTATTATCATGTCTCTGTGTGTGTGAGAGTTCATTTAGTGGTTTTCATATGTACATGTATTCAGGGCTGACCACTTGGATTAGATAACCTATCAGGAAGCTCTTCCCCAGAGAAAACTGATTCCCCATCTCTCAACAGCCATTGACTGCTTGTAGCTCTTTATCTATGGTGGGTCTGGTGAAATGCCCTCAGTCTATGTTGGCATGTTTAGCAGGCCAGCAAAATATCCTCAACAGTGCAACAGTAGCACTTTCATCTTGGGGGTAACCAATAGCTTTCTACTTGGACTTAAGGCCCACTCAATAGGCCATATTTCACATCTGGTATCATAACCCTAGTCAATTACCCATGGCTGGAGATGTCACAAGCCCTAGGAAAGAATCTACAACTGCCATTTTCCTGTACCAATATAATTTCTAACTGTATTCTGAACATTTATATTCACAGGCATTAAATGGGTCAAACGATTGGAAAGAAAACACTTTGGTCTGACTGCCCTTGCCCTATGGACCACAACTGTAATTTGAGCATTAACATTAAAACTTTAGAAATTACTATGAACAGTCGTGGACATTACAGGATTGAACCAGTAGGCACGCACGCCGTGTTTCGTTAAACTCCCCACCCAAAGCTACAAGATACCTTCCAAGCTTGGAGCTGATTTTCTGCTCCAGTTGTCTTTTTTTGGTTTTTCTTTCAAGAAGCTCCTTCTTCTTCAGTCTCAGCTCATTGTCTTTGAGCTCGAGATGCTTGTTTGTGTCACGCAAGGCCACCAATCCTGACTCCACTGCTTCCAATTTTCTATTAATTTCCTATAGGATATGCAAATTGTTAACACAAACTTTTTAAATTCTAAAGCATTAAAACCCAGCCAATAATTTAGTAACTATATGCAGTGAACCAACCTTCAGTTGTTCTTCCAAGTGTCTTCTCTGCTCTAGATCTACAGTGACGGTGAGGAACTGTGCTACTTTCAGGGATGTGTTACTAGAAATAACTTTATTTGAATAGAAAGAAGTTTTTAACACATACTTTTCTTCTGCTGTATAAATTTGTTTTAATCGAGTTTCTTGTATTACCTATAACATAAAGTAGGAGTTCATGAACATTCTAATTAAAAACTATGATACATGCTTTAAAGGACTAAAAAAATAAAGAACATAAACCAGGAGAATTCTAGAAGACCAATATACCAGACTTAAACTAACACTACCTAACCAATATCTCTAAAAAGTGGTAAATGTTCTGGAAACAACACAAAGGAGGATAATGAGGAGAACTTCAGGTAGGCCTGAAATTGAGTCTTAGTTCACACACAGTATCAAGACATAAACTTAGTAGTTTGAAAAACAAACAGTCTAAGCTGGGCATGGTGGTGCACAACTGTAATCCCAGCATTTGGGAGGCTGAGAAAGAAGATTAAGGAATTCAAGACCAGACTTAGCTACAGTAATTTATGGAGAGCCTGCCAACATGACATTCTGTCTCAGAAAACAAAAACAAAACAAACAACAACAACAAACCTCTCACAATAAAAAGAAAAGCCTGTTCTAAGAGATTTGTTCTGTCCTTGCTTACAAAAAACTTTAAGGATTTATTTGCTAAGAAAATAATCCTAAGAAAAGTGGCCATTTGTTTATTGAGACAGTCTTAAATAAAAGCTTTAAGAAAGTGAAAGCTTACCAGAATAGACCTATATCCCAGTCTACCATTCTATTGCACACTTGAAAGATAATATGATCTAGAGTGCAAGATTTTTAAAGATTAAATCATCATATACACATCAAGTAAGGCACAATAAGCTAAGAGCATTCAGGCATTCCAAGTTTTAACTTTACTTAATTCTTCTAAAAAATAAAAGTATTTATTAATTTGTTTTGGGTAACTCTATCACTTCTGTTATAAAATATTAGTTAATAGTCCCAGTTTTATGTCCTACTACAACTGTTAAATAAAAAGAGAGTTTCTATATCTTTACTTTCTTACCCGTTCAATTCTTTCTCGGGTTCTTTCAGTTCCCACAGGAACTTCATGAATATGATACTGGCAGCAAAGGTAACTCATCACAGGATCAGGTGCATCAAACAGCTCTCGCAAATATGAAAAAAAGCCATACTGTCTGAAAAGAAAAGGACCAATTTAAAATACTACTTTAAAAACCTGATTACTAGGCTAAGGAGACGGCTCAGCAGATGAAATGCTTGCCTTGCAAGTACAATAAAAAAGTCTGGGTGCGCCGGGCGGTGGCGGCGCACGCCTTTAATCCCAGCACTCGGGAGGCAGAGCCAGGCGGAGCTCTGTGAGTTTGAGGCCAGCCTGGGCTACCAAGTGAGTTCCAGGAAAGGAGCAAAGCTACACAGAGAAACCCTGTCTCGAAAAACCAAAAAAAAAAAAAAGAAAAAAAAAAAAAGTCTGGGTGCTATGGACTGGAGTCCAAACCCCACGACCCATACAAAATCTCCAGGAAAGGTGGCATTGGCTTATTATTCCAACGGGGAGGTGGAGACAGTGGATCACTGGGGCCTCAAGCAACACGGTCTACCCTACTTGGTAAGTTCTAGGACAGTATGAGACTTTGTCTTTTCTCTCACTCCACAAAAAAAATTTGAGGAGAGCAAAGTATGAGAAATGATATTGGTGGTTGTCTTCCACATACAGGAACACATATGTGCACTCACAGACATACGATCTGATTGTTGACAGTAGTCAATAAGCACAAAGTCAAAGACAGTGTGGTGGTCTGAATGAGAGTAGCCCCCACAGGCTCACGTGTGAACACTTGGTCCCCAGTTGGTAGAACTGTTTGGGAAGGATTAGGAGGTGTGATCTTACTGGAGGAGGTGTCACTGGGGGTAGGTTTTGAGGTTTTGGAAGCCGACACCAGGCCCAGTTTCTCTCTGCCTTGTGCCTGTGGATCAGATGTGTGTTCTCAGCTACTGCTCCAGTGCCATGCCTGCCTGCCAGGTGCCACGCACCCCACCACAGTGGTCATGGATTCTATTAATTCTCTGAAACTGTAAGCAAGCCCCTAATTAAATTCTTTTTTTAAAGTTGTTTTTGTCATGTCTCTTCACAGCAATAGAAAAGTAATTAAAGCTGGAGGTAGAGGCGCACGCCTTTAATTTCAGCACTTGGGAGGCAGAGGCAGGTGGATCTCTGTAAGTTCAAGGACAGCCTGGTCTACACAGTGAGTTCCAGACAAAGCTACAGTGAGACCCTGTCATGAAACAACAGCAAAACAAACAACAACAACAACAACAACAAAAACAAAGAAAGAAAAGTAACTAAGACACATTTTAATAGTGGTAGAGAAAAAGGCTTTTTATATTTTAAAATCACTTGTGCTATTTTCTTCCTTGCTGCTAAGCTTAAGCCTTTTATGATTACAATTTTTTTTTACAAACTATCTTTTTCTGTTCCTGTTCTTAATTTTTTAAATTAAGAATGTCTAGTTATATCCAGAGATTAGATATTTGCATATAACTGTATAAAACTGCATTTCTTTACATTTAGCCCTTACAGATATTATTGCTATTATTATTAATTTTCTTGACTCAGGGTTTCTCTACTTAAGAGCCCTTGCTGTCCTGGAACTTGCTCTGTAGACCAGACTGGCCTCAAACTCACAGAGATCTGCCTGCCTTTGCCTCTCAAGTGCTGGGATAAAGCATATGCCACCACCACCCGGCACAGAAATTATTTTTACATTAGAAAATGATTCATTACTTCCTATTTCCAATGGCTAACCTATGTCTTTTACTTCTAGTAAAAGATATGTAGTATGTTTCTTTAACTAATCTAATACTGTTCAAATTTGAAAAATCACCTGTATGAACATGAAACCTGGCACATTCCTAAGTGTGAACTTTCCTGCTCAGACTTCAGCAGATCACCTAAGACAGACTAATACAGCTTATACCAAACACTATATGAAGAATTAAAAATCACTTAAAATTATTCAGTGTTCAAATTAGTTCTAATAATACTTTCAACTTACTTTAACTCATTCAGAGATCTTGAAGGTGCTTTGTCTGCATATGAAATCTTGGGAGCAATAACAGCATTTACTCTTAACTTCTTATTGTCACGAACCTAAATCAATAATAAGAGACAATATTAATTACCATGTGCTTAATTGAAATCATTTCTAAAGTCACCATACCCCCACTGGCATTGCTAGGATGATCAGCAATTTAAGCAAAGCATTCATTACCTTTTATTTTCCCTTTAACTTTACGCCCCACAAATTCAGTATGAGCTTTTCTACTTTATGGGTTTCTCTGCTTTTGGTTTTTCTGCTCAAGACGGGGTCTTACTTATTCTGTGGACAGGAACTCACTATGTACCCCAAGTTGGCCTCAAACTCACCATCTTCTGCCTCAGCCTTTCAAGGGCTGAGATTACAGGTATGTGGCCTTACACCCATCCAAGAGTGTATTTCTTTCAGAAATATATACCGAATTTTCAGATGAAACAGAATGTTTGGAACTGGCTTCAAAATATATAGATAGCAGCTATACTTTCATTAATAATTCTTGGCAGGATCCTGCCAAGTGAGAAGCTTCACAATACTCGAGTCTGTTTCAATCTTTGGCTGATTCTTTAACTGAAAATGCATAGAAAATCTGCAGTGGACCATGAGAAGGCAGCAAACAGAAGTAGGAGGGGGCGCTGAACAGGAGGGCCAGGGAGATGGCTCAGTACATAAAGTGCCTGTCATGAGTTCATACCTAATACTCACATAAAAGCTGGGTAGGGCAGCATGTATCTATAAGCAAAGCACTGGGTAGGTACAGAGACAGGAGGATCCCTACAGCTTATCAGCCAGTCAGCCTAGCCAATCAGTAAGTTCCACATGAAGCAAGAGACTCTGTTTCAAAAACTAGTGTGGAGTTTCCTATGACTGGATTTCCAGCATTCTGTATCCACTGCAAGCACTTACAGATTTTTTAATAATAAAATTTATTTATTCTATGTGGTTTTTACATCATCTATCTTGATCCAATTCATTCCTCATCCCTTCACATCCACCCTCCACCCCTGCACCTCACTCCCAATAAAATAAAATTCAGGAGAAAAAAAAAGAAGAAAATAAAATGAGAAAAATTAAAAAGAGGGGGAGGGAGGGTTTAAAAATTTCATCATAGAAGCTGCAGTGTGACCCAACAAGTCAAACCATATACTCCTTGGTCCATACATCTCCCCTTTCAAGTGTTCATTGCAAGCAATCATTCGTCTGGTTCAAGGTCCCTCGTCTATGGGTCTATTGGGCTGCCCCGGCGAGGTGCAGGGCCTGTTCTCTGGAGTGTCATTGCAAGCACTTTTATATCATGTAATAAACCAAAAAAACCTCTGTTGGAAAAAAAAAAATTATGTGGGTGGAAAGAGGAAGACATCAGATGGTGACCTCTGGATTCCACATGCTATGCCAACACACACACACACACACACACACACACACACACACACACACACACACACACACACACACACCCTTCAGTTGCTAACAGTTTGAAGTTTGAGTCCAATTAAGTTCACTGCTAGTCAGTCTCTTCAGAAGGTAACTGACCCTAGGGGTATGACCTGCAACTCTAATGAACAATAAAAATTCTTATGTATGAAAATTAAATGCTATCATAGCTAAGAGAAAAAGCAGTCAGAAACTGACCTCACAGGAACACAAATGTCAGATTTAGCAGACACAAATTTTAAAGTAGTTAAGCTTGTTCAAGAAAACTATTACCATACTGAATAAACAGATGGCCAACCCTAGTGGACATAGTAAACAAACAGATTTTAATAGAAACGCTAGATAAATAAAATGCAATATATAAAATAAAAAATTCACTCATGGAAAAGGGTTAGTGTATAGAATATACAAATAACAACAAACCAAGAAAAAGTGAAACATCAAGAAAACAAACAAGCCATTTTAAAACATGAGGCATGAACTAAGCAGAGTTCCCAAAGGTGAAACAAAGAGCCGAGAAACACAGAAATGCTCACACCCTCAGCCATCTGGGAAATGTGAATTCAAGTTACTCTGAGATTTCATCTTATCCCAGTCAGGATGGCAAAGATCAATAAAACAAAGAATGGCTGTGACGGATAATCTTGGTTGGATCGTTGAGGTCAGAAGACCCACCCTAAATCTGGACCACACCTTCTGGTGGCAGCCCACACGAAAGGACATGGAAGGAAGCTGTGCTTTCTGTCTGCTTGTCCTCGTTCTCACTGGCAACTTCTTCTATCCTAGCCATTCCTTTGCTGGTGTTAGAACCTACTTCTTTGGGATTCCAACATGGACAGAAAACTTGCAGGTGTATAGAACCTCCCTGGGACTCCAGCACCAGACTGGGATTGCTGAGAAATCTAGTCTGGTGGACCGAACAACTACTGGATCCTTGGTTTTTCCATCAGGAGACAGTATTATTGGACTACTATAAGCTACTCTAATAAGTCCCTTTCATATGTATGCATGTTCATTCCATCAGTTCTGATCCTTAGCTAATCTTGAATAATACAACAGCACATGCTGGCAAAGATGTGGGGCAAGAACACATAATTCATTGATAATGGACTAAGCCTCTGAATTGTAAGCCAGCCCCAGTTAAATGTTTTTCTTTATAAGAGTTGCTGTGGTCTGAGTGTCTCTTCACAGCAACAGAAACCCCAACTAAGATAGGCCATAAAGCACACATTTAACAAAAGATATGTAAAAAATACATTGGTATGTAAAAAATACATTGGAGCCGGGTGGTGGTGGCGCACACCTTTAATCCCAGCACTCGGGAGGCAGAGGCAGGTGGATCTTTTTGAGTTCGAGGTCAGTCTGGTCTATGGAGCGAGATCCAGGAAAGGCACAAAGCTACACAGAGAAACCCTGTCTCGAAAAACCAAAAAAAAAAAAACCAAAAAACAAAAAACACTGGGCTGGGGAAAGGGCTTAAGGGGTAAAGTGTGTGCCCTGTAAGCACAAGGATAGAGTTTGATCCCCGGAGCCCATATAAAAAGAGTGGGGACAGGCGTGCACACTTGTAATCCCAGTGGGGAGGAGGTAGAGATAGGCAGATCGCTTGGACTTCGCTGGCCAGCCAGCCTACTCTAACTGGTAAGCTCTAGGTGAGTAAGAAATTTGGTCTTAAACAAACAAACAAACCCAAAAAACCAAACCAAACCAAAAAACCATCTCCACCCCAAAAGGAATAAAAACTCAAACTAAACTAAGCCAAAACAAACAAACTCAAACCTGAACCTTTTCCATACTGCAAAAGAGAAAACAATGTTGAGGCAAGTAAAATGGAGGAGTTTCAGTTGTGATGGACATATTAACATTTTTTTTTTTTTCAGATTTATTTATTTATTCTGTATATAGTGTTCTGCCTGCATGTGTCCCTGCAGGCCAGAAGATGGCACCAGATCTCATTACAGATGGTTGTGAGCCACCATGTGGTGCTGGGAATTGAACTCAAGACCTCTGGAAGAGCAGCCAGTGCTCTTAACCACTGAGCCATCTCTCCAGCCCGACATACTAACATTTTAAAACTTCTCTCAGGTCACTTTACACTAACAAAGTGAGGAAGTGTATTGAGGATAAGGAAGATGATATTTTTTCAGAGAATACAGAAGATTATAAACCCACAAGGGAGAAAATCAGAAGGTGCCTTGTCAATCATAACATATTGCTAGTTACTACTTACCTCTCTGAGGAAAATCTCCATATCTTCTTGACTTTCAAACACAAAGGCTCTTAAGTCATTTGATGAAATATGATTTTCAACATATTTTGCATTTTTATTATCTTTCATATTAATCTAAAAAGGGAAAAATTAGTTTTTCTGAAACCCATTGATAATATTAGAGTGTATGCACATACATCTTGGATTTGACTAGATTAAATTTACTGCTAAGTAATTTCAAAACATTTCATTTGTTACTCAGAACAACCACATGAGGCTCTGCTGCACAATGAGTTTTCAATTATCTGAGATACAGCTTTAGTTTCCTTCTACTTAACTCACTCAAGTTGGAGACTGCTACCCACAAACACAAACAGCTCCTATCTTTCCCCAAACTTAGTACTTTTCTTCTCAATCTTCAAAAACACTTCCTATTATACTTGGCAATAGCTTATAGGTACAAAACCATACTTTCATAAGACACGTGGAAAAAACTTGTTATGTCAATCAGCTATCGGAGCCCTCAAGAAGTCAAAGGTTTGCATCACTACAACATAAACTTAGTTACTTGGGGTTTTGATTTTTTTCCCTACTATGTGATTCTACCTGCAGTTCATTATGTGGCTTGGGCTGCAGGCCTCAAACTTGTGGTCCTCTTTTACATCAACCTCATAGGTGCTGGTATTACAGGCACAGACCACCACACACAACTTCTACTAACATGTTAAAAAATATTTACTAATTAGACACTACAGCACAAGTGGCTCAGTTCTATGAAAGATATTAAAACAGGTAAGAGGAGAACTGTCTCAAGAATATTAAACCTTTACTTATAGCAGACAAATGAGCAAAATGCAAAGCAAAGCACCATACAGAGAACACTGAATCTATTAGATTTCACAGGAGAGCTAGATGAAAGACAAGGTATTCACACAGGATGTTCTATCATGAAACATGCTATTTTTAACCAGGGCTCTAGTCTGGTGATATAGCTTAGTGGGAGAGCACTTGTTTACTACATAATAGGCACTAGATTCAATTTCCAATATTGCTTTAAAAAAAAAAGAGCTAGCATAGTTTTTTAAAAAAAGGTTTATTATATAAACATTGGTCAATACTATTCTCTAGAAAACATCAGCAGTGTAGAAAAATGGGAATGCACAGACAATAATCTCTGTAAGATACAATTATCCAAGCACACACTCTGGTGTCTGTCATTTCACACTTTTTCTTTTCATATTTAATTACTTTATTGGAAGTGCAAATGAATGAAAATGTAAGCTGATGTTCACCTCAACTTTTAGACTGGACAAAAATAATTGCTCTGGATGAGCCAGCATAGGATTTGGTTCTCAGGTTTTTCCAGGGTGTATTTATTAGAAGTATCTTTCCATTTGAGAACCAAAAGCCCTCATCTTGTGTAGAGAGTTCATTCCATGGCCATTCAATTCTTTGAAATCTCACAAATAGTCATTCTGGTCACTAGCCAGTTTGTGCCATTCTAACAGTGGATAATTTATCCTTTTTTCCAGGGATAATGCATATCCTCAAGTAAAATTTATCCAACATATTAGTTCATCTTCCTGTTTCTTAGAATCCTGCTCCTTTCTTTCTGGTATTTAGTGGAAACTAAACATTTAAAAGAATTTTAGAGTTATACCTTCACAAAGGAGTAAGATACAGACTGGAAAGTAGATCATCTAGTTGATGTAGTCTCCTGTTTCACATTTTTTAAATGAAAAATTTCTACATACCCTATTCAACCTACTTTATAATTCATTAACATGTCATAAACTCATTCATTTATTATTAGACCTAACCTATAGCTTTATTTGTTTATGTGTATGCATGTATACAGGTTCATATACATTTGTATAAGTAGAGGTCAGAGGACAATCATTATTGTTCCTCATCTACCTTGTTTTGTGAGGTAGGATCCCCTGCTGGCCCGGTATTCACCAAGTAGGCTAGAATGGCTGGCAGAGAACCCCAGTGAGCCATCTGCTTCCACCTCCCTAGTGCTAGGATTATAAGCACACCAGCATGGTTGGTTTTTTTTACATGGGTTCTGGGGGATCAAATTCAGTTCTTTGCAAGCACTTTACCAAATGAACTATCACCCCAGCCCCACAACAGTATTTTAATGGTTGAACTGTATTCATAACAGTTGTTATTATAAATATTACTTTGAGAATAATATCTGCAAATCTTTTCCACATTTGTCCAATTCTAGATTGGAGTCATTAGAAATAAATCACAGAAACAGAACAAGCTATATGACTAACACTTTCAATGTATATATTCTCAACTTGCCAATGTAGGTTCATTTTCGAGTAGACTTAAGGGTTAGGTAAGTGTACATATAGATACGAAGGGAAAAGTCGAACAGGGTGAGAGTGGGAGAGCAAGGAAAGAGATCCCATGATAAATGAAGACATCATGGGAACAGGGAAAAACAGGGTGCTAAGGAAGTTCCCAGGAATCCACAAGGATGACTCAACCTTAGACTACTAGCAATAGTCGAGAGGGTGCCTGAACTGTATTCCATTGTGATCAGTATCTTTATGAATTTTCTTCATTATGCACATTACTGTGTTAATATAAAGTACAGTTGTTATTATAAATATTACTTTCGCTTTCCCTTCGTATCTATCTATATGTACACTTACCTAACCCTTAAGTCTACTTGAAAATGAACCTACATTGGCAAGTTGAGAATATATACATTGAAAGTGTTAGTCATATAGCTTGTTCTGTTTCTGTGATTTATTTCTAATGACTCCAACCTGAACTGGCCTACTCCAGTAATCAGATTAGTGAATACCCTAACTGTCATCATAGAGCCTTCACCCAGTGATTGATGGAAGCAGATGAAGAGAACTATGGCCAGGTGCCATCAAATCTATGAGCAAGGGACACTGAGATCATGGGAAAATGTACAGAGACTAACTAGTGGAAACCCATGAACTGTGGACCAACAGCTGTGGAGCCCCCATGGGACTGGACTAGACCCTCTGGATACTCAAAACAGTTGTTTAGCTTGAATTGTTTGGGGGGCCCCCAGGCACATGGATCGGGATCCATCCCTGGTGCATGAGCAGGCTTTTTGGAGCTCAGTGCCTATGGTGGGACACCAGCCTTGGTGCAGGGGGGAGGGGCTTGGACCTGCCTCAACTGAATGTACCAGGCTCTGCTGACTCCCCATGGGAGACCTTGCCTTGGGAGAGGTGGGAATGGGGGTGTGTGTTGGGGAGGACGGCTGAGGGGGTAGGAGGAGAGAGGAGGGGGGGAATCTGTGGTTGGTATGTAAAATAAATAGGAAATTTCTAAATAATAAAAATAAAAAAAGTGAAAAGTCACTACATGAAGGCTGAAAAAGTAGAATACATCTTTTTATCTTAAATACTTAGATGTTCTTAAGAATGTAAATATACTCCAACTAGTGATGTGACCTGGGGATGAGCTATGTAGTTAAGACAATCAGATGACAAATCTGGCTAAGTTCTGAACTATTACTGAGACTGGTTTTTTTTTTTTTAATGTGTAAGTAATTAAATGCATTATAACTTATAGCAAGGATTTTTTTTTCAGTCAACAGCAGATCAAAACAATGAAAATACACTAAATATAAATTCTCTTCTTAATTTTGGAAAAATATTCTCTTTGCTGTTGTTTCTGTTTGGTTTTGGAGTACAGGGTTTTACTATGTAACCCAGGATAGAATGGAACTTGTCATGTAACTGAGGCTAGCATCAAACTCTACATCCTCCTGCCCCAGCCTCTTGGGAGCTGCGGTTATAGGCACATGCAACTGTGAAGAAAAGAAAATACTATGGATATGGATTTTACTAATATCAGATATAATAAGAATTAAATCTATGCTATTCTTAATAAAGTATAAGTTAGAGGAAATAGGGCTTGTCATGAATTCTGCAAAGATCTATTAAAATTTTTCAAAGAAAAAGTACCTAGAAAAAAATAATTCTTTGGTTATTTTGGGGGCAGGTTCTAATCTTATTTATCTATATCTAGTATATCACCATTAAGAAATGTGTTTTCTTACTCTTACATTCCTTTAAAAAGCCAAATTAATCACCTGATAGTTTGATGGAAATTATTCTATTAAACTTATGACCAAATTTCACTAAATTATTTGCTATAGATTTTCTATTCCTGATGACCCAGTCATCAACACTATCAATTATTTTGATATCAATTACTTGCTTCAGTTACAAAATCCTCAGACAGCTTTTTTTTTTTTTTTTTTTGTTTTTCGAGACAGGGTTTCTCTGTGTAGCTTTGCGCCTTTCCTGGAACTCACTTGGTAGTCCAGGCTGGCCTTGAACTCACAGAGATCCGCCTGGCTCTGCCTCCCGAGTGCTGGGATTAAAGGCGTGCGCCACCACCGCCCGGCTGTCTCAGACAGCTTTTATAAGAGATGATTTTCTTGCTTGTCAAACCGCTTTCAACATTTTTTTTTTTTTTTGGAGACAGGGTTTCTCTGTGTAGATTTTGGAGCCTGTCCTGGAACTCACTTTGTAGACCAGGCTGGCCTCGAACTCACAGAGATTTACCTGCCTCTGCCTCCTGAGTGCTGGGTATTAAAGGTGTGTGTCAGCAACATCTGGCAGGCCTACTTATATCAACAAAAATCTACGATTATCCCAATAGTGAAACAAACCGATATTACAAAAATGAATGAAACTTCTTACCGTGAGCATTATGGGCTCACAGACTCTTTGCTTAAACCGATCTCTGTTATTTCTCAGCCACAAGACTGCATCGTATGTGTCCCGGTACCGCTGTCTCAGCTTATCTTCCTTTTGATTCATAAGATTGTCAAAACGTATGATATGATCACCCACACCTAAAATTGGAAGGAAAAGTATCATTTCTCTGAAAACATGAGTATGTCAACCTGTAAACAATACAGAATATCTTAAGTCTAGAGGTTACAAATACCAGCCAGGACAAATCTTCCAAAATCTTTCTAAAATCACTGAACACCTAAGATAAAAAGGACCCTGAAGCCATTGAAAACCAGGGTACCTGGGGATAAAAAAGACAAAAAGGAGTAGTTTTTCTAGCAGAAGACAGTGGCAAGGGCATGAGAATTTTTTTTTCCTGAGAGGAAAAAAGAAAAGGTATTTAGTTCCACCTTTAATGTAGAACTGGATATATAACAAGATCAAGAAAGGGGAATACTAAATTTAAAATGTTCTCAGGTAACACAAAAACACTGAAATTAACTTTCAGCGTCTATTCTTAAACATTTACTCAGTGCAGGAGCAGTAGGAGACAAACCCCAGCTGAGGACCATGGAGAAGACCTTGGAAACAACCTGGTTCGATGGAAGCAGGACAGCAAGATGCAAGATTCAGAAAAACAGTATGACAAGTAAGTTGGATTTTCCTCTTTCAAGACTGAAGGAACTGCTGGGCTGGTGAAATAGCCCAGTGGATGGAAGTTCTCGTTCTGCAAGCCTGATGACCTCAGTGTGATCCAGGGATCACACGGTGGTAGGAGGAGAAAACCAACTCCAGAAGATTGTCCTCTGACCTCTATGTGTGCCCAGTGGCAACTGTATGCTCAGCTACACAAATATTAACTTCTTTTTAATTTAAAGATAAAATACAACAAATAGTGTTTTCTTAAAAAAGGGAAATTAAAACCCTTAAAAATGTTACCAGTAAAAGGCAATTCAATTATAATGTACCCAGCTGTAAGTAAGTTTAGAAGTCTATCTGTTAAGAAAGTACATACACTTATGGTCCCCAGTAAAACTTCATTTTTAAAACAGAAAGCAGAGATAGATAGGAAGGCTTGAATACGAAAAACAAGAACGGGAGTGCTGCATTAATACCCGAGCATACAAAATGTACACTTGACACCAACAACTATCACAGTAACAAATGTCAGCATTACTAATATAGTCATTTTGAAAATTACAATAAAAAGGAGGTCAGGCGGTGGTGGGGCACATCTTTAATCCCAGCACTCGGGAGGCAGAGGCAGGTGGATCTCTGTGAGTGAGTTCAAGGCCAGCCTGGTCTACAAGAGCAAGTTCCAGGACAACCAGGGCTACACAGAGAAAACCTGTCTCACAAAAACAAACACAGAGAGAAAGACACACACACACACACACACATACACACACACACACACACACACACACACACACACACACACAGAGGGAGAGGGAGAGGGAGAGGGAGAGGGAGAGGGAGAGGGAGAGGGAGAGGGAGAGGGAAAGGGAAAGGGAAAGGGAGAGGGAGGGAGGCAGGGAGGGAGGGAGGGAGGGAAGGAGGGAGAGGGGAAGGGAGGGGGAGGGAGGGAAGGAGGGAGGGAGGACATTTTGAGCTAAAATCTACACTTAGAGAAAACAGGAAACTAAGGTCTGTAAAGTTAATTAAGCAGCACTGAAGTATGATGTAATAACAGAAGCAGAAGGGTCACGGTGAACTGCTAGACTTAAGGAAAAGAAGGAGAGCACCACTTTTCCTGAATCCCTTTCAACTTTATGTACCCAGCATTCAGATCAACAGACTAGAATGGACCAAAGACCTCAAGTTTGAGCTATGAAATCAGTATGAGGGGTGAGATTAGGGGAAATAAGCAAGTCTCCATTTTATAAACTATTCTTTGCCCTCAGGAAACTTACTCCGTTTCTGCTTCTCTAGCATCTCCTTTTCTCTTTGTTTATCAATGATCTCGCCTTCACACAATCCCTTTTCCTCTTGAACTCGCCTCAGATCATTTGTGATAGCATCAATCTGAGGCTGAAGGTTCTCACAGTTCTCTGCAGTCTTGAGCTCATTCTGCAAGTCCTCTATCATCCTGCGGGTGTTGCTTATTCTCTTCTGCCGGTCATGTTCTTCATTCTGTTTGACTGTTAAGGCCTGCTGAAGTTCCTTAATCTAACAAAACAAAAGGAGGTTAGTGTCTCAGACTGTTTTCTTCTGTTCTATTCGGTGTTTGCAGTGACATAGTTTTAAATGGACTAGGGCAGTGGTGTAGTACTTACTGGAAGAGCTGACTTGTCTAGCATACAGAAGACCTAGGATTGGGTCACCACACACACATACACACACACACACACACACACACACACACACACACACACACACACACACACACACACACCTCTACAAGCACTCCTCTCACTAAGAGGTATACTAGCAGATCACTACCCAGCAGACTACCCGTAATTTGTTCATAAGTATATCAAAAGTATTTAAGAGCAACTTAACATATAGTTAATGCTGATTAAAATACTTGATGAATAAAAACATGTAAAACCAGATGTCTAAATGTAACATGAATTTCTAAACGATCTTATTAATAAAAAAACACCCAGAGCCAGATATTGGGGTGAAAACTGAGAGATCAGAGAAGCAGAACAAGCCACAACTAACCTCACCTCGCCAACTTCTCAGCCGATCCTGTTTCCTCAAACTGGAAGCCTCTGAGTCCTCACCCGAATGGATCTCAGTTGAACAGCTGCTAAAAGTCTAAAAGCTTAAAAGCCTCTAGTTCCTAGTCCTCACGCCTTATATACCTTTCTGCTTCCTGCCATCACTTCTTGGGATTAAAGGCATGTGTCTTTCACAAGCAAGACATGAGATCTCAAGTGCTGGAGTTAAAGGTATGTGCCATCATGCCTGGCTGTTTCCAGTGTGGCCTTAAACCCAGAGATCCAGATGGATCTTTGGCTCCAGAATGCTAGGATTAAAGGCATGTGCTACCACTGCCTAACCTCTATGTTTAATATAGTGGCTGTTCTGTTCTCTGACCCCCAGATAAGTTAATTGGGGTATACAATATATCAACCATACCTAAATATTTACAGGAAGAAGATATACACACTATGACCAAAATTATAAAAGAACTGATACTAATTTTAAGTTCTTACTTTTAAACCCAATTTTCTTTCAACAAAATTATGTTCTGCCAACAATTTAACACTGAAATTTTAATCATCAATCTTTATATTTAAACTTTTTTACCTATAATCAGCATAAATTATTTTTTAAAATCAGATGTATTGGCTACCACTTGTTGTCAGTAGAATTTAATCAAAATAATAGTTCACCAAAAATATCATTTTCTTTAAGACATACAAATGGGGGACTGGAAGATGGCTAGTGATTAAGAGCTCTTTCAAAGGTCCTGGGTTTGATTCCTAGCACCCACACGGCAGCTCACAACATCTGTCACTTCAGTTTCAGGGGATCCAGCGCCCTTTTCTAGCCTCTGAGAGCATTAGAAACACACATGGTGCAGACATACAAGGAGGCAAAACACCCATATACATTAAAAAAAAAAAATCTAAAAAAACCCACACAAGCCAAAAAACAAAAAACCAGATACACACAAATGTATACTTCTACATTTAATTAAATTTTATAATTAGAATAGTGTTAAAATAAATTTAGCACATTGCATAATCTGTTAACTAGTTTTATTTCTAAGTCACATTTATTCTTTCTTTTCTCCATTATAAGTTATAAGTAATTATAAAGAATATGGAAAATGCAGATGTGTAATGGAATGTCTTTAAGATTTTATTCTTCTTCAACGCCTACTTGCATCTTATTTGTAAAATGTTTGTACTATATGGGATCATTTAAGCTTTACTGATGGCATTTTCACTATCCCCCCACAGATTCTTGCAAAAATAAAATCTTAACTCCAGTATCATGTCTTGTCATACGGAAGCATCACACGTTAGTCCCCATAGTTAGGAACTTCTTTCTGAAAATTCAAATTTGGTGTTATCAAGAAAATAAAGAAAAATTTGCCAAAAAAAAAAAAAAAAAAGGCCAAATCCTGTCTTCTATAGGAAACAGAGAAATAAAAGAAAATAACAGAATGTTTATGTATACACACACACACACACACACACACACACACACTGAAAATTAAAGAAACAGACAAGAAATCACAGTGTTCAGCCATAAAACTTACAAAATCCAAACCTCTCAGGAGAATAAGTGAGCATATCAGAGTATGAGAATAAGAAATCACTAAACACATGAAAACGTCCAAGCCCATAAGAGAGACAAGAAACTGAGTATACATAAGTTCTGTACTCTCAGCACCATGCTACTAAAAATAGTAATAATAATAAAAGAAAGAAAAAAAAAACAGTGGATTGGGGAAAAAAAACCTTGCCAAAAGGTCTTTAAACTTGGACCTTAAAAAACAGAAGCACATCTCAATGACTCCTTAATATTTAGATGTTTTCTCAACTGTAACACATTTGCTACCTTCATCTAGCAGACTATCAATACCATCAATAATCACTTCAGTCCCACCACAACTGGTACTGATGCTGAACTTGAGCACATAGCAAGTTTAAATCTCGCATCTCCAGGTTTTGCTAGATCCTACAATAGTGTTGCTCAATCTCTCTGAATGTACTTTCTTATTCTAGCTGAAACTTGGGTATTTCTGGAAGATACTTCTCTACTGAGCTCTCAGGTAGTTTAGGGCCAAGGGCAGAGGTCCCCTCATGACAATTGCCTCTTTCCTTCTTTAATTGCACTCTACTTCAGTTTCTTTTAATACCATGGGATCAGACTTTGCTACCCATCATCCTTGTTGCGAATTAACTACTTCCCTCAAAGCTCTCCCTCACTACTTACAGACTGATGACTTGGCACCTGATTCACTGTCTTCTTTAATCCATCATTATGCCTGTGGGTCATGTGACTTCAACCTAAACACAGAAAGTCAATCTTTTTGGTCTCTGTGTTTCTTTACTTCTTTAACTTCAACGATATTTTCCTTATATTGTAGACAATGTAAATCACCAAAAACCATGCAGCTTCTGAAATCTGTATTTCTGCAAACCTATTCTCTGATAATTACTTCCTTCTCTCCACTATATTCAGCCTGGCATTCCCTGTCTACCTATTCCTTACATCCACAGAGTCCTGTAATCTACTGACCCATTTACTACCATCTCAAGCCATCGTCTCCTTTATTTTGCTAGCCAACTGGGTTCTATAACATGCCACTCAATCACTCCCTTGCTAAGACCCATGGATCCTCAACTCATATGTTATACTGGAAAAGAATAAGCTTAATTCTAACTAACTATATGTTTCTGCTATATCTAAGTAACTGAAATAATGTAAAGCATCCTGAAAAACTGGTCTAATTTTACATTTACAGCAACAAAAATGGCAGTCAAAACTACCATTGATACATTCACAGTCTTACGTAAAGTCCTCTCATTTCCTCCATTTTTAAGCCTTACTGCTGTCTTGCACTATTAAGAAAGCTCATGTTCTTGTCTCACATTCCATTACGAGAATAGTTTAAAATCATATCTTACTTTAAACTCATCACATCCGCAGCTTTCATCTTCCACAATGGAAGAACAGTTCCTATAAATACCTAACTCTATCCCCTCCAAGACTACTTCAAATGAGTTTTTCAAATATTTATAACGAAAGACCTCTGGAAATAATCCCAAGCCACTGCAAGCTGAGTTTTATCAATTATTATTACAATAAATTATCAACAGATGTCCTAGAAAACATATAATCTACGATAAATGCACTTTTAGGAATTTTCCCAAGAGAAGCGAAAGCATAAGGACATACAAAAGGCATACAAGTGCCTGGAGAGGGCTCAGGGGGTAAAGCACTTGCTATGCAGGTGTGAGGACCTGAGTTTAGAGCCTGTGCTGGTTGGTTTTTGTCAACCTGACACAGCTCAGGTTATCTGGGAATAGGATCCTCAATTGAGAAAATGCTTCCACAAGATGGGCTGTAGGCAAGTCTGCAGCATATTTATTTTCTTGATTAATGACTGATGTGGAAAGGTCCAGTCCAGTGGAGTAGCCACCCCTGGGCAGACAGTCCTGGGATTTCTAAGAAAGCAGGCTGAGAAAACCATGAGGAGCTAGGCAGTAAGCAGAGTTTTTCATGGGTTTTGCTTCAGTTCCTGTCTCTAGGTTCTTGCCTTGAGTCCTGCCCTAACTTGCCTCAGTGATTGATGTACTGTGACCTGAGAGAGAAACATACCTTTTGTTTCCCAAGTTGCTTTTGGTCATGGTCTTTATCATAGCAATAGAAATCTAAGACAGAAGCCCAGAAACATGTACAATCTGCATTTCTGTAATCCCAGTGCTCCTACAGAGGCGGAGACACGAGAATCCCCCGAAATCCATGGGCCAGCCAGCTTAGCACATACAGTGGCCAACAACAAAAGAGACCTTGTCTTCAACAAGATAAAAGGTGAGAGCTGGCTGCTGATGTTGTTTCCTGACCTCCACATGTATACTGTGGCACATGTTTGCCAGCACTCACATGTGTACAAACACAGAGATCTACAAGAATATTTATAGCAAAGTTATAAGTCTCAAAGTTAGAAGTCTCAAGCTAGAAACTATTTTAAAAGTTTATTAAATAAATTATAATCAAAAGAAAACTGGAGAACACACTACACTGAATGAAAATAAAAATACAACATAACAAAATCTGTACGCTAGAGCTCGAGCAGTGACGAAAGGAGAATGCACATTGCCAAGAGTGTCCACAATGTCTCAGATCAGCAAATTATAGCTCAAGAAGCTTGAAAAGGAGCAAAATAAAACCACAGCAAGCAGTAGAAGAAGAATAAGACAAGAATAAATAGAAAGGAAAAATAGAACAGGAAAGAAAAAAAAAAAGCAACGAAACTAAATGAAGAGGGGAAATCAGCGAAATAAACAAACTTCTGGCAAGACACTAAAAAGAGAACTGGAGGAAAAAATGGGAAGAAATACAACTTGTCCACGAAATAACACCTGGATCTCACTACAGTCTCTAGGCATGTAATGAAAGATACAAGGGTACACATAAATTTGACAATTTGAACAAAGAAAACCGGCTTGTTTTCTAAACACAAATTACCAAAACCTATA